CCCCCAAATCTCTTATTATCTCACCGAGGAAGCGAAAAGTTTTTTAAGTGGCCAAAGTTTCAAACTTTTGTGATTATGATACCACATGTTATTTATTTAATTTGTCTGAAAGTCTTCAGTCTTGTGATAGACTTGCTTCTGATGATCGTCTTCTGTCTTGTGATAGCCTCTCTGTCTTTTGATAGTTTTCTGCCTTGTGATAGTCTTTCTGTCTTCTGATAGTCTCCAGTCTAATGATGATATTTCTGCCTTTTGGTAGTTTTCTGTGCCCTTGCCTGGCTGTCTTATGAAGGTTTTTTGTCTTGTGATAGCCTCTCTGTCTTTTGATAGTGTTCTATCTTGTGGTAGCCTCTCTGTCTTTTGATAGTGTTCTGTCTTGTGATAGCCTTTTTGTCTTTTGATAGTGTTCTGTCTTGTGATAGCCTCTCTGTCTTTTGATAGTGTTCTGTCTTTTGATAGCCTGTGGGTCTTTTGATAGTGTTCTGTCTTATGATAGCCTCTCTGTCTTGTTATAGTTTTCTGTCTCGTGATAGCCTCTCTGTCTTTTGATAGTGGTCTGTCTTGTGATAGCCTCTCTGTCTTTTGATATTGTTCTGTCTTATGATAGCCTGTCTGTCTTTTGGTAGTGTTCTGTCTTGTGATAGCCTCTCTGTCTTTTGAAAGTGTTCTGTCTTATGACAGCCTGTCTGTCTTATTATAGTTTTCTTTCTCGTGATAGCCTCTCTGTCTTTGGATAGTTTATTTTTCTGTTATTGGCTGTCTCCTGATAGTCTTCAGTTTCCACGTCGATCTGTCTCTCTTTTCAAAACCTGCGTCTGTGGTGTATCGTCATTTTTTCTCTACCTGTTTTGTATGTTTGTCACTCTCTTGTGAACTGCTATTTTCGGGGTGCCTTGATAGTCGAAGCAGACTTTGTGCTGTTGAGGCTAGAGAGGTGAACAGAGTAAGCCTGATTCCCCGTTTGGACTTCTCAGCTGACGTCCAATACTTGGCGCTCATATGACCTTATGCAGTTGTGAGCGCCGTAAAATCTTACTAAAACAAAAACTATTATTATTATTACCATTATTATTATGATGATTACTATTAGTATTAGTATTAGTATTATCATTATGGTAATATTTAT